GTCTGGGATTGACCCCCCAAACCCCCATTTTCACCCCCCAAACCCCCCCAAAATCCCATTTTTCACCCCCCAAACCACCCCAAAATCCCGTTTTTCACCCCCAAACCGCCCCAAAATCCCGTTTTTCACCCCCAAACCCCCCTTTCCCCCCCAGGCAGTCCCTGGAGGAGCAGAAGCGCCTGGAGGGCGAGCTGACCGAGGAGGTGGAGCTGGCCAAGCGGCGCATCGACGAGATCAACAAGGAGCTGAACCAGGTGATGGAGCAGCTCGGGGACGCGCGCATCGACCGCCAGGAGAGCAGCCGGCAGCAGCGCAAGGCCGAGATCATGGACAGCATCAAGCGCCTCTACCCCGGCTCCGTGGTGAGGGCAGCCCCAGAACTGAGCCAGAATGACCCAAAAAGTGACCCGAAATACCTCCAGAAAGTGACCCAAAAACTGACCCAGAACTGCACCAAAAACTGACCCAAAACTGACCAGGAACCAACCCAAAACTGAGCCAAAACAGCCCCTGAAAGTGACCCGAAACTACAGCAAAAACTGACCCAAAACTGTACCAAAAAGTGACCCAAAACAGCCCCAGAAAGTGACCCAAAAAGTGACCCAGAACTGACCCAAAAACTGACCTACAACTGACCCAAAAAGTGACCCAAAACAGCCCCAGAAAGTGACCCAAAAAGTGACCCAGAACTGACCAGGAACTGACCCAAAACTGACCAGGAATGGACCCAAAACTGAGCCAAAACACCCCCAGAAAGTGACCCAAAACTGAGCCAGAAATGCACCTAAAACTGAGCCAAAACAGCCCCAGAAAGTGAGCTGAGACTACAGCAAAAACTGACCCAAAACTGACCAGGAACCAACCCAAAACTGACCCAAAACACCCCCAGAAAGTGACCCAAAACTGAGGAATGGACCCAAAACTGACCCAAAACTGACCAGGAACCAACCCAAAACTGAGCCAAAACAGCCCCAGAAAGTGAGCTGAGACTACAGCAAAAACTGACCCAAAAACTGGCCCAAAACTGACCAGGAACCAACCCAAAACTGACCCAAAACTGAGCAGGAACCAACCCAAAACTGAGCCAAAACAGCCCCAGAAAGTGACCCAAAACTGATCCAGAACAACCCAAAATCTGACCCAAAAAGTGACCCAAAACTGACCAGGAATAGACCCAAAAACTGACCAGGAATGGACCCAAAACTGACGAGGAATGGACCCAAAACTGACCCAAAACTGACCAGGAACTGACCCGGAACTGAGCCAAAACAGCCCCAGAAAGTGAGCTGAGACTACAGCAAAAACTGACCCAGAACGACCCAAAAAGTGACCCAGAACTGACCAGGAATGGACCCAAAAACTGACCCGGAGCTGACCAGGAACTGACCCAAAACTGACCAGGAACCAACCCAAAACTGACCCAAAACACCCCCAGAAAGTGACCCAAAAACTGACCCGGAACTGACAAGGAATGGACCCAAAACTGACCAGGAATGGACACAAAACTGACCCAGAACTGACCCAAAAAGTGACCCAGAACTGACCAGGAATGGACCCAAAACTGACCCAAAACATCCCCAGGAACTGACCAAAAAGTGACCAGGAACTCCACCAAAACCACCCAAAACTGACCAGGAACGGACCCAAAACCGACCAGGAATGGACCTAAAACTGACCCAAAACAGCCCCAGAAAGTGACCCAAAACCGACCAGGAATGGACCCAAAACTGACCCAAAACATCCCCAGAAAGTGACCCAAAACTGACCCAAAACCCCCTAAAAATTGCCCCAATGTCCCTGACCCCAAAACTGCTCTCTCTGACCCCATAACTGCTGTGCCCCATATCCCTGACCCCATACCCTGTACCTGACTCTATAAAAACCCACAACTGACCCTATAAAACCCCCAAACCCCATTGCAGTATGGCCGGCTGATCGACCTGTGCCACGCAGAAGAACCCAGCCCCATTGCCAGTGTCCCTGACCCCACAGCTGCTGTACCCCATGTCCCTCACCCCATACCCTGTACCTGACCCCATACCCTGTACCTGACCCCATACCCCACAACTGACCCTATAAAACCCCCAAACCCCATTGCAGTATGGCCGGCTCATCGACCTGTGCCAGCCCACGCAGAAGAAGTACCAGATCGCCGTGACCAAGGTGCTGGGCAAGAACATGGACGCCATCATCGTGGACTCGGAGAAGACGGGCAGGGATTGCATCCAGTACATCAAGGAGCAGCGCGGCGAGCCCGAGACCTTCCTGCCCCTCGACTACCTCGAGGTGGGATCCCAAAGCGGGGGAAAAACCCTAAAAGGGGTTTGGGGAAACCCTAAAAGGGGTTTGGGTAACTGAGACCTTCCTGCCCCTTGACTACCTCGAGGTCAGACCCCAAAGAGACCCCAAAAAGGGGGGAAAAAACCCTAAAAGGGGTTTGGGTGACTGAGACCTTCCTGCCGCTCGACTACCTCGAGGTCAGACCCCAAAGGGGGGGGAAAACCCTAAAAGGGATTTGGGGAAAACCCTAAAAGGGGTTTGGGGTCAGCAAAAATCCTAAAAGCAGCTCTAGGATCAGGAGAAACCCTATAGTGGGATATGGGTGACTGAGACCTTCCTGCCGCTCGACTGCCTCGAGGTCAGACCCCAAAAGGGTTTGGGGGAAACCCTAAAAGGGGTTTGGGGCAAGGAGAAACCCTACACTGGGGTTTGGCATCAGGAGAAACCCTACAGCGAGGTTTGGGTAACCGAGACCTTCCTGCCCCTCGACTACCTCGAGGTCAGACCCCAAAAGGGTTTGGGGTCAGGAGAAATCCTAAAAGGGGTTTGGGGAAACCCTAAAAGGGGTTTGGGTAACTGAGACCTTCCTGCCCCTCGACTACCTCGAGGTCAGACCCCAAAGGGGTTTGGGGGAAACCCTAAAAGGGGTTTGGGGAAACCCTAAAAGGGGTTTGGGTAACCGAGACCTTCCTGCCCCTCGACTACCTCGAGGTCAGACCCCAAAAGGGTTTGGGGGCAGGAGAAATCCTAAAAGGGGTTTGGGGGGCAGTGAAAACCCTACAACCAGCTTTAGGATCAGGAGAAATCCTATAGTGGGGTTTGGGGGCAGGAGAAATCCTAAAAGGGGTTTGGGTAACCGAGACCTTCCTGCCACTTGACTGCCTCGAGGTCAGACCCCAAAGGGGGGGAAAAAACCTAAAAGGGATTTGGGGTCAGCGACAATCCTAAAAGCAGCTCTAGGATCAGGAGAAACCCTATAGTGGGATATGGGTGACTGAGACCTTCCTGCCCCTCGACTGCCTCGAGGTCAGACCCCAAAGAGACCCCAAAGGGGTTTGGGGTCAGGAGAAATCCTAAAAGGGGTTTGGGGGAAACCCTAAAAGGGGTTTGGGGTCAGGAGAAACCCTAAAAGGGATTTGGGGTCAGGAGAAAACCCTAAAACCAGCTTTGGGATCAGTGTCCATTTTGGGGTTTATAACCCCATGGTTTTGGGGTTCTGACCTTGATTTGAGTTCCTGACCCCATTTTTGGGGTTTTTAACCCCCAATTTTTGGGACTCAGGTGAAACCAAAAGACGAGAAGCTGCAGGGATGGGGTTTAACCCCATTTTTGGGATTTTTAACCCCCAATTTTTGGGACTCAGGTGAAACCAAAAGACAAGAAGCTGCAGGGATGGGGCTTAACCCCATTTTTGGGATTTTTAACCCCAAATTTTTGTTTTCCAGGTGAAGCCCACAGACGAGAAGCTGCAGGAACGGGTTGTAACCCCATTTTTGTGACTTTTCACCCCAAATTTTTGCTGTCCAGGTGAAGCCCACGGACGAGAAGCTGCGGGAGCTGCGGGGGGCCAAGCTGGTGATCGACGTGATCCGCTACGAGCCGCCGCACATCAAGAAGGCGCTGCAGTTCGCCTGCGGCAACGCGCTCGTCTGCGACAACGTGGAGGACGCGCGCAGGATCGCCTTCGGCGGCCACCAGCGCCACAAGGGGCCCCAAAAATGGCCAAAAGCACCCCAAAAATACCCAAAAACCAGCCCAAAAATACCATAAAATAGCCACATCGCCTTCAGCGGCCACCAGCGCCACAAGGGGCCCCAAAAATGGCCAAAAGCACCCCAAAAATACCCAAAAACCAGCCCAAAAATACCATAAAATAGACACATCGCCTTCGGCGGCCACCAGCGCCACAAGGTGCCCCAAAAATGGCCAAAATCACCCCAAAAATATCCTAAAACAGCCCAAAAATACCTTAAAACAGACACATCGCCTTCGGTGGCCACCAGCGCCACAAGGTGCCCCAAAAACCGTCCCAAAATACCCAAAAACCAGCCCAAAAATACCCAAAACCAGCCCCATCGCCTTCGGCGGCCACCAGTGCCACAAGGTGCCCCAAAAATCACCCCAAAAACAGCCCCAAAATACCCAAAAACAGCCCAAAAAAATATCCTAAACCAGCCCAAAAATACCTTAAAACAGACACATCGCCTTCGGCGGCCACCAGCACCACAAGGTGCCCCAAAAACGGCCAAAATCACCCCAAAAATATCCTAAAACAGCCCAAAAATACCTTAAAACAGACACATCGCCTTCGGTGGCCACCAGCGCCACAAGGTGCCCCAAAAACCACCCCAAAATATCCTAAAAACAGCCCAAAATACCCAAAAAACAGCCCAAAACAGTGCCATTGCCTTCGGTGGCCACCAGCGCCACAAGGTGCCCCAAAATCCACCTCAAAATACCTAAAAAACAGCCCAAAAATATCCTGAAACAGCCCAAAAATACCCAAAAACCAGCCCAAAACAGCCCCATCGCCTTCGGCGGCCACCAGCACCACAAGGTGCCCCAAAAATGGCCAAAATCCCCAAAATCCCCCCAACATGGCCAAAATCACCCCAAAAATATCCTAAACCAGCCCAAAAATACCTTAAAACAGACACATCGCCTTCGGCGGCCCCCAGCGCCACAAGGTGCCCCAAAAATGGCCAAAATCCCCAAAATCCCCCCAACATGGCCAAAATCACCCCAAAAATATCCTAAACCAGCCCAAAAATACCTTAAAACAGACACATCGCCTTCGGCGGCCCCCAGCGCCACAAGGTGCCCCAAAAATGGCCAAAATACCCAAAATACCCCCAAAATACCCCCAACATGGCCAAAATCACCCCAAAACCAGCCCCAATGTCCCCAGTGATGTCCCCAATGTCCCCGTTGATGTCCCTCAGACGGTGGCCCTGGACGGGACGCTGGTCCAGAAGCCCAGGGGTGTCCCCAGTGTGTCCCCAATGTCCCTGTTGGTCTCCCCAATGTCCCCCAGACGGTGGCCCTGGACGGGACGCTGGTCCAGAAGCCCAGGGGTGTCCCCAGTGTGTCCCCAATGTCCCTGTTGGTCTCCCCAATGTCCCCCAGACGGTGGCCCTGGACGGGACGCTGTTCCAGAAGCCCAGGGGTGTCCCCAGTGTGTCCCCAATGTCCCTGTTGGTGTCCCCAATGTCCCCCAGACGGTGGCCCTGGACGGGACGCTGTTCCAGAAGCCCAGGGGTGTCCCCAGTGTGTCCCCAATGTGTGCCCAATGTCCCCAATGTCCCCAATGTC